GTATCAGCCGACGTCGCGGAAAGAATTACGACAGCATTTGCAAGTGGTGGCAAAGGACAGCATGGCAAGCTAAATATCGAAGAATACGAGAAAACCGGTGAGGTAAAGGTAACACCGTTAAATTCAAGTGTGTCCGATAGCAGTTCCTCTGACAATAAAAGTCCAAATAAGCAAGCCATGCCTCCACCATCTATGCAAAACACCAGCGCGTCTCAATCTACCGAGATTAAGCAGGAAACACTCGAACAGTCGCACTGTCAACAACAGCAGCAAGCTGCGCAACATCAAGATGAGCAGCATCACTCGCCCGGCAGCTCGGGTGGACAACAATCGCGACCGCATTCACCCGCACTTAGTATGAGTTCTGTATTCTCAGCTATTCATCCCAACATTTCTTCCCACCCTCCGTCGACTTATTTCGTCGACTCCGAAGACAAAAGTCAAAATACACTTGTAAAATCACTATAGCTATTAGTGCAAAAATCATCAGAATTATTTTCCATAAAAGATATAACAAGAACTAAATCCGATTAAATTTCGCGCTTTTCGGAAAAATTTCGATTAAAATAAGTTGCAATTTTAAATCTCAAAAGCTAATTTCTTGACATTAAGAAAACATAATGTACAAGAGATGAAACAATTTAGTCGAAAACAGAAATAAATTCACATATATCTTAAAGTGTCATTTCTTTTAATGGGATATGTTGATTTAAAATACTTTATTATATTTGATAACACTTATGACGATATATATAAAAATAATAACGGTAGAGAATAATAAATGTATATTATTATTATTAAGACTCACTGTCCGGTCCTGTGAAAACGCATTGCGCATCCTGACACACCACCATTCTCTTGAGACGTTTCCTGAATCTATGTCTCAATCCTTTCTTCATGGTATATCCGATATTTGCCATTTGGTACTCGTCGACATTCATATCGTAAGCTTCAACGAATCTCTGAGAAAGATAATAACAATTATAGGAAGATAATGAAAATAGCGCGCGAAACGCTCTCAAGTGTTAAAAGAACGCGATACCTGATCGTCTTCGAAGATGCAGAAGACGTTGTTGAAATTCGACGAAACGCGACGAATGCAACTGAACGTGTTGTTCGCGGCGTCTTGACACTTGCACGCCATTTCTTTCGCGCATAACTAAAAAGGCATACGACGCAATTAACGCAGGAATTCAAATAAACAAATTTTAAAGCAATGAAATACTTGAGACTTGCCGTGACATTCAAATCGCTATCGCTTGGACAACCGGACGACGACGGCTTGTTGGACCTCTCTCCTCTGTATTCTATCAAAACGGTGCGATCTCCAGATAAATTATGATTTGCATTAAATAATGTCGTGCCGTCCGATGGATACTCCACGCCAGCTATGTTTAAAAGCGTGGCGAAGATATCTACGCTGCTGACTGGCGCGGAAATCGTAGACGGCTCGATTCCTGGGCCGGATATCAGTAATGGGACTCGTATATCTGTTTCATAAGGTTGACGCTTATCCATCGGCATGCTGAACTGTCCTGTAAATAATACACATCTCATACAAACATGTAGAGTAAATCCACAAATATAATACAATTTCCAATATTTATTAATACAAGACAAGAACGTAATTAAAAAAATATATATTACATATCGAGCTCTCAAAATTAACGATGAAAATTTAGGATGGCATCATTATCGACTGGAAACACGACAAAAGCGCGAAATCATCTCGTCGTGTAAATGATAGAGTGGTCATTACGACAATTGAATAAACAGTTTATTTATCATAATTATTTGGTATTGAATTAATTTAATTTTTTGGAGGATCTTTCGATGTTGGAGCGACTATAAAAAAAAGATTCTGGCGAATCCAGCGGTTTTTTGTTCCCTAATATTCAGTGCGCTTCCGTGCGTTTGTGCTTAACATTTAACATTATCGAATGCATCGTTATAAATCACCTACCAATGTGATATCCATTATCAGAGGTGTAAATAAAGTATGTGTCGTCCAAGAGACTCCGCTCCTCCAATAAGTCGTGTATGTTCTTAACGAGCTCGTCTACCGCTAACAAACTTTCCCATCTCCTCCTGTATATCTTGTCTAATTTTGGCAATATATTGTCTGGCAAAGGGGTTGGACTTTCCCTAACTAGCCAATGTTTGTCCTATTTTTTTTTTAAGAATAAAACCAACCTTAGATAATCTATATTTGCGTCAAATTTCGGAATAGAAATTCTATTCATAATTCTATATATCGTGTATTTTAATCACCCAGAGACGGATGCCGGATCACTCGTGACCTATCCCTTGACTCTATTTTTTTTTTAGTTTAGACTGTAAGTTCAAGGAGGCTTGCGCTCATAAAAAAAAACAAGTAAGTGAGTAACAAGTAAATAACATTCTCATGTAAAAATTTGTTTTGCAACACATACAAGAGAAACTTTATTACGGATTAGAAGTTAGAAGTGATCCGGCGTCTGCCTTTCCGTCTTAATATGTATTTTACACATGTGAGCGTCCTGATTTTTCAATTATTCTCCGTAATACACGGCGTATAAGATCATAAATAGAATTCCGTCTTGATACGAATTATACGGGCTGTCTAAAACGGGGAATCTTTAGAAAACCGCATTATTTCGAGAAAAATTCGACATAATCACCTGATGCACGGGGATATTAAAATTCGGCGTTCTCTTCGCCTTCGTGCCGTTGTATTTGCCGTTGTGTCTATCGGCAGGTGTGAATGGCGCATGAGGAGCTGGCGGTGCCAACACCATGAGGAAGGGTTGATTGCCGGAATACCCTTTGATAAAATCTACAGCCAGATTACTCTGGAATACATATACATGG